GTAAACATTCACTTCCTCGATGGTAAAGACTTAGAAAACGCGTAGATACTTAGTTCCTCGACGGCGACCACGTAGACATTCACTTCTTTGATGGCGAAAACCTAGACGATACCTAGTCACTTAGTTCCTCGACGGCGACCACGTAGACATTCATTTCTTTGACGGCGACCACGTAGATATTCACTTCCTCGACGACGAAGATCTAGACGACACCTAGACACTTAGTTCCTCGACGGCGACCACGTGGATATTTACTTCCTCGATGGCAAAGACCTAGACAACACGTAGACATTTAGTTCCTAAACACTTTGTTCCTTGTCAGTGAACACGTAGACACTCACTTTCTCGACAGTGAAAGTTTAGACAACTCCTAGACATTTAGTTCCTCGATGGCAATCTTGTAGACATTTATTTCCTCGACGGCGAAAATCTGGACGACACCTAAACACTTAATTCCTTTATGGCAAAGACCTAGACAACGTTAAACACTTAGTTCCTTGACGGCGAATATTTTGACACTCACTTCATTGACGGCGATCACATAGACATTTACTTCCTCGACGATGAAGATCTAGACGACACCTAGACACTTAGTTCCTCGATGGCGACCACGTGGATATTCACTTCCTCGATGGCAAAGACCTAGACAACATGTAGACATTTAGTTCCTAAACACTTAGTTTCTCGTCAGCGAACACGTAGACACTCACTTCCTCGACAGCGACCACATAGATATTCACTTCCTCGATGGCGAAGACCTAGATGACACGTAAACACTTAGTTCGTCGACGGCGCATACGTAGACACTCACTTCTTCGACGATGACCACAAGAGAGTTGTAAGAGAGACGAGAAAGCAGAAAAACAGACGAGAAAGTCGTAAGAGAAACGAGAAAGCCAAAAGAGAGACGAGGGACAAGATTGAAAAAAGGGACAAGATTGAAATTTTGCGAAGAAGAAGACGATGACGACGATATAGAAGACCAAAGAAACCATATAACATTGAAATTTTTATGAAAAAAAGCGAAGAAAAAGACAGCGACAACAACAGCGACGAAATTATAAATTATAGACGAAAGGGGACAAGATTGAAATTTTTGCGATGAAGACGACGACGACGACGACGACGACGACGACGACGACGACGACGACGACGACGACGACGACGACGACGACGACGACGACGACGACGACGACGACGACGACGACGACGACGACGACGACGACGAACGACGACGACGACGACGACGACGACGACGACGACGACGACGACGACGACGACGACGACGACGACGACGACGACGACGACGACGACGACGACGACGACGACGACGACGACGACGACGACGACGACGACGACGACGACGACGACGACGACGACGACGACGACGACGACGACGACGACGACGACGACGACGACGACGACGACGACGACGACGACGACGACGACGACGACGACGACGACGACGACGACGACGACGACGACGACGATGACGGCGACGGCGATGGCGACGGCGACGGCGATGGCGACGGCAACGGCGACGGCAACGGCGACGACAACGACGACGACGACGATGGACGAAGGAGAAGAACCAGAAGTAGGTGGAAGGGCGAGTGCGCCGGCTCGAAACTACCAAACTACTTTTCAAGCTGCCCCCGCGGCCCTGGCAAGATTATAATTAAAACGTCGCGCGGCGCTGGATAATAAATTAATGCATAATTAACATAGCTAATTATAATACCGGCTGAAATTTTTCTCGTAACTCGTAACACACTGGTCTCTCGCATGCGGAGGCAGTGCAGCCCGGTAATTTATGATCGGACATGAAAAATTACCGTCTCGGGGGGGTTTAATCATCCTCGGACCCCCCCCTCCTCCTCCCTCCTTCCCCCCTTCCCCTTCGCGCGGTCGCTCCACACGTACCACTGGCCTTCTACTAACGAACGCTGCGAACCACTGCGTGCCTTCACCTTCTCCCGCGCCACCCTCTTACAGCTGGACTTAATAACTTATTATAATGCAATGCGTCGTGCGTGGGGATCTTGCGAAACGTGGTGGAGCGCGGCCGGGAAGGGAAAACCAGCTCCGTAAGTGAAACGTGAGGAACGATGAGGCGCGTAATGGAACGAGAGAGGCGTTCTGCCGTACTCAAACGTAGTGCGAGGATATTTTAAGGGATGCATATGTGACCAACATTATAATTAATCTCTAACAGAGCTACGTATTTCGCGATCGTATATACTATTCAATAACTCGTTGTCACAGCTAATACAATCGAATGATAATAAATTGACGGTAGATTATAATTAATTGCGATAGACGGTTAATGAAGAAACGTGCGTTTGATCACGTTGTAACGGGGAATTCGATGGACATTCGAGTTTTCGGGCGGTAAAACTTTCGTACGGGTGCTTATGCGGCCCACAGCGGTGCAACGCGAAGCGTCTGTTAATTGACTTATAAAAAGCTTAAATAATTAAATTAGCATTAAAAGCCGCCGCGAGGCGGCCCTCTGGCCGTCGTATAATTCAACATTGTGCTTTTTTCGTACCGCTGGCAGTAACGTGAAAGCTGCCGCTGGTCTTTTTCAAAGCGAACCCACCGCACGCGCGTTAATTCATTAGTCGTTGCTATACATCGTTTCACGAAAACTTCCTGGTTTTTAGATTCCCTCTGTCACAGAGTTTCAAGCGATACGCCAGCGCGGTTGCCGTAATAATTTATTATATAAATGAGTCACTTTCCTTCATATACACCTCTATATGTTATGTGGATATATATATATATATATATATATATATATATATGTATATATATCGTTTATCTTTCACGTTCGTGCAAACGATAGGATACACTTTCATTTCATTCACACTTCCGTTGCTCTTCAGACTTACGAGAATTATGAGGATTGTAAAAACGCCACCTCCGCTATTACGTGTCAGATCCGTCGCGCATCAATTCTTTTCGGATCCGAGAGCACGCAATATCTCTATACAAAAAAAAAAGGCCGCATATAAATCTACGCATCGTCGATTGGACGATTCCCCCGAGCATTGCTTCTCCCGGAATCTGCAAAATCATCGGCCATTACCCTGACCCGAAAATCGCGCGGTGCCGGTGCGATCGCTTATCCTCGACACAGTTCGAATGCAGTAGCGTCGTAGTAATTTGTCCACGTTATTCGAACCGGTCGTGGGGCGCAACGGCGCGGCGGCGGCGGCGGCGGCGGCAGCGGTCCGGTTCGCCGTCCCCTGTTCCCTACACCCTGCTGCTCCCTGCTCGTTCCCCATCGGGGCGCGAACGGCGCCGAAAATGCAGACAAATGAGTTAAAAAACGCAGTTGCAACGCCTCACCATGCCGTGGTGAACGTCGGCGAGGGCGGCGTTGCCGACGATTTGACATTGTCGAAAGTTAATCAATGCCCCCGACACATATATACATACGCGCGCGTACATGCACGCGGACCGCGCGCACAATCGCGAGAGAGAAACGCTTGGGCCCCACTCTGGCCCGTAGCTAGAGCGTCGTTTCGTCAATTTTTTAAAATTAAATCACTATCTGTCCTTGTTAAACGCGCTTCCCGGGCACAACCGGTCTCCAACCCCCGACTCGCTGTCATGCCCTGCGCTACTCCCCCCCCGTCTCCCTCACCCCTTCGTGGCTTCGCTCGTACGTCGATCCACGTGCTGCGCCTAATGACAGACAGTTGCCGGCCGAAAAAAGTGTGTAAATCCGTGGTGGAACGGCCGCGAGCGAGCGTGCGAGAGCGAGCGAGCAAGTGAAAAGGGCTAAAAAAAAAAGGGGGAGAGAGATAGAGGAAGAAGCGTTGGAAGCGCGGACGAGAGTCCGCGTAAGAGCGGCGAGTTGGGAGAGGGTGAATTTCGAGAATGAGAGAGCGAGAGGACCGGGGAGAAAGGGAGAGAGACCATTCCATCGTGCCCGTATATAGATGGCGGTGCATGCGGCTCGGCCGAGCGGCCATTCCGGTAAAACGCACCGGAATAAAAATAATGGCTGGAAATGGACACGGGGTAGGTACCCCGGCACCTCGTCATTTTTTTCTATTAGCCGAAACTTACAAACACCCGGGGCTTCCGGCCATTTCGGCCGACCCCGCAGACCGCCAAACTGCTCTGCCGCCCGTGTCCGTGCGGCCGTCGAAATTCGAAGCGCCGCGGCCTGTTGTTACCCCCTCGCCTCCATCCGCCCTCA